AGCTTCTTCTTGCGAGTCTCTATCACTTGCACAAATAGCTCCTCTGCTGCATCCCACCGCCCTTGATTCTGGTAAGTCGACGCCAGATTGGCCATGCTGATTAGCGTAAAAGGATGGTCCGCTCCCAGCTTCTTCTTGTGAGTCTCTATCACTTGCACAAACAGCTCTTCCGCTGCATCCCATCGCCCTTGATTCCGGTAAGTCGACGCCAGATTGTTCATGCTGGTCAGCGTGTCTGGATGGTCCGCTCCCAGCTTATTCTTGCGAGTCTCTATCACTTGCACCTCCAGCTCTTCCGCTGCATTCCACCGCCCTTGATTCCCGTAAGTCGACGCTAGACAGGCTCTTAAGACTGAAGTTACCCAATGTCCCTCTCCAAAAACGTCCTCTGTATCCTCAATCTCTTGTTTAAGGACTGTTTCGAGTTTAGACACAAGCCCTTTGTCATTATAGTGATGAAAATCAATAAAATGGATAAGGCCTTGGTGTAACAACTGACTAAAGCGCCCTTCTATATTGAAGGCATGCAGCTCGCCATCTTTTACTACCTGTATCTGCTTTTCAAGGACACTGTTTTGGGACTGGCTAATAGAGAGCTCTTTCCTTATATCCTCATGTTTAGGTACCCCAAATCCAGTTTTGTAACAGAAGGCAAGTTGCTCTGCAGCCTTTGCTACTAGTATGTGTTTAAAGACTGGTGTTGTTGATGTAAGAGCAATTTCTTTAAGCTTTGCAGCAATAAAAGATCGTAGCCGGAAGTCCGCCCAATAAAGACTAGATATTGATGACGCAATCTTAACTCTGTTAATTATAATATATAACTCAATCGTAATAAGTCTTACCTGGAAGTCTTCCTCTCTAGGAACTGTAATTTCATTAAAGGTTGGAGTGCTGGGGATTTCCCTATTTGTGTTAGAGAAGGACCGCGTCATATATAGGTGTTGCAGGCTTACCGAGCTGGATCTAGAAAACTTAGAATACAGCGCCAATCGGTGATTCGCTTCTGAGGGTCCACACAAAGGCTTGATTGAAAAAACTGAGTCACCCTGTCTTTTGCCTCAGCCTTGAGTCGCCTATCTCCTGCCGCCAACTGGGTGGCCCAGTCTAATAGTCTGTCACTCTCTTTCCACAAGAGCAATGCATCTCCTTTCTTAGACCAATCCTGTCCTTCAAAGGAGAAGCTTTCGGCCACATTTACTGTCTCTAAATGATATGGCGTGGTCTCAGAAGCTTCTACATCGAAGAGTAGCCATAGACAGAGCATACCAAACGAGTACACATCCATTGCTTTGGCGTCTTGCGGATAGAAAGCCCGACCATGGTGTTCCGGTGCATTCCATGGCACTGATGTAGTTATATTAATAAGGTCTTTCTCGCCACGGAAATGCGTTGAGAAGCCGAAGTCTGCGACTTTGGCGGTGTAGGCGCCAGGCCCATCTTTGAACATAAGCACGTTCTGTGGCTTTATATCTCCATGGATAATGTCTAGGCACTAAATTAGCCTCTGATTCGTAATTACATAAACGGTCGTCCTACTGTTTAGGTGCATGTCCCGAATCGCGATGCCTACATCTGCGCAGATCTTGAGCTTACTCTCTAGGGATAAGCTCTTTCCCTTTCTAGATTGCGCAAAAGAATAAAGATCACCAAGATGACTTTTCTGAAACACTAAAACTGGCCAAACCTGAATGCCTGTTGAGATGTCCCAGTCGTCTTTTGGAGTATCTTCGTTGTTTTCTAAGATGTCCCAACAGATCCCGATAAGATTCACAATATGTGGATGGCCTTGAACTAGCGGGTGGCCGAGTATTGCCATTTCTTGAACAATCTCTTGAAACAAGTTGCTCTTCTTATCGTGATCGAAGCGCTTGAAGGCAAAACTGGTCTGGATGCTGAGTAGCGCCTGGTTAATTCTGGCCCGGCTTTGCCCTATGAGGCCTAGTAAGGCCTGCCACGTGATCGGCAACAAGTCAATCTTCAGCCGCTGGGCCAGGCCGAGTACAGCAATAAAACCGTAATCCGAATAGGCGTTTCCTGAGTAAGTAGGTGTTGCACTTGCGCCAAAGGTTTTCGTATGTGTGCTTGCCTCATAGGAGCGGGTAGATGCAAGCATTTGGCCGTCTGCCATGGTAACGATTCAGATGAAGCAGGATAAATGCGTAGTAGACTTGGACAGTGAAGGCACAAATATGGCTGTGACACACAGCTCTGTGCCTAAGCTATAACACTTAGACAGATCGGAAATACGTTTGGGCTCCACGCTAATGCTGACTGGTTGCCCGCATGGATTGCCAGAACAGCCAACGCAACCTGCGGTCCGGTCAAACTCGCCCCTGCCTTTTCAGCCGTGCATCACACTGACCGGTTTATGGTGTTGACCGGTCAGATTAGCGTCGCGGCAGTTGCATTTCAGCCTCGTACATGCACCTCGTATTGGTCTCTTGGCATTATGCGAGGTTCTGTCAGGCCTGACACGTCACCGACGCCCGCCCCTGCGCCGCCAGGCACCCTTGCCGTAAACCAATGGACTTCTAAGAAGAAAACACGTCGAATCTTTGTGCCTTTCTACTATAGAGCGAACTCAATGATTTGCGATTTCTGTATTCATCCTTGCTAAGTTCAATCGGAATATTACTTTACTAACAGGCAACACCTCCGCACCTGAATTTCCGGACTTTTCTATTTGCCCAACGATGAACACCAGTATACATATGCACGGAGCACATCATAGACGACACCCCCTGTCTAAATTTAGTTGTCCAACGCTATATTTGGGCTCCACGCTAGCCCTGACTGTGGTTGGCCGCCACGGCCCCATGGTTCGCTAGAAGCAGCCAACGCAACCACCGGTCTGGTCAGGCTCGCCCTTGCCTTTTCAGCCGTGCATCGCAAGCAGGTCACCACCTGCGATCTGGGCCGCAGATGCAGCGCTGGCACCGACCGGTCTCTTGTCATTCTGGAGGCTGTGTCAGGCCTGACACGTCATCGACGCCCGCCCCTACGCCGCTAGGCACCCTTACCGTAAACCAATGAACTTCGAAGAAGAAAATACGCATTGTGGAGCGCCCCAACAATCAAGCCCAAGTTCCCAGTATGAGAGGTAATACTATGCTCGTTGTTTGGACGGTCGCAGTGTTCCAAAGCATAGAGTTAACGGGACGATTCAAATCTATAGAGCACTTCGCGACATTCTGTCCAAAACATCTCCAACTCTCTCATAAAAGTTCAGACGCGAAGTAGTTGCGTTCTCCCTTCCCTCCCCTGACAGGAGGCATCCATCCATGCATGCAAGCACGGCACCGTAATACGCACTTCCCATTTGAGACCTCAGATCCTTAACATATTTCTCCATAAGCGTGAACTTGATGGCTTCAGGCGCTGCAGTTGGCCATTTAGATGTGATACTGCCTACCGATCTCCATAGTCCGATCTCTAGCAATATGATACCAAGGCTGTAGTAGTCATACGCTACTTGAAATCGACGTGTTTTGGCGTATTCTGGATGGGAATAGTCGACTATACGAGCATCATTGGGTCCCTCGCTATGCCAGCCATCGCTATCCGGGCGCGCTCTAGTAAGCCCTATCACGTATGGATTCTCTATAGCCTCTTCCGTCGAACAGCCCTGCTTAGTGAAGAAAACAATGTTGTCGGAGTTTAGGTTTCTGTGTAACCAGCCAATCGAATGTAGCCCCGCTATACATGAGACGAGCTTGTTGGCTAGTTGTATTCTTGTTTCTAACGCAGGGACCAACTTGGGCTTTGCATAAAGAAGCGCCAGAAGCGTATTCGGCACATCCGTAGCGGTAGGAAAAGGATATAGAAAGCCAAATGCATTCTTCATTGGGATGAAACCAATGCATTTCGGGACACGAAGTTCGGGCAGTTCTTGGCTCTGGTGAAAGCCTTCGGCAACCAGTTGCATGCGTGTCGCTCTTTCTTCGACTCCCATACCCTCCCAACGTTTGTCGTAGTGCAGAACTTCGATGAACACCTTCTCACTACCCTGATAGGTGCCGATACGGTTAGGTCCGAAATGTTCCTCGATACCCACATCGCCCTCAGCTAGCAACGCCCAAGTTCCTTCCGAAGGCAGATCACGCTCGAACTGCAGCAGGAGGCTCTTGATTGCAGCTAGAGCGCTGATACTGGAGTATTGATCATCTCTTGCCGTAGGCTTTTGGAGCTCAAGTATGTGAAGACGTTCAATTTTGTGCGTGTCTAGCGCCTCTGCACACCAAAGGAATTGCGCGCGGTTTTTGTTTCTCTGTGACAGCAGCTCCCAAAGGTCTTGTATAAGGTCTCGTATCTCGTCGAGGACAGATGTGTCGACTGCGATCGATTTCATCATGTCAGTGTGATGTAGGTTCGAGTCGTATTTGTTCAGTTCCAGTTGTAATCGGCCCAACATTTTATGGGAGACCAATCGTAATTTCTCAACTTCTCCCTCCTCAATTTCTGTGTGATCAAATCTTGATAGCAATCTTTGTTGTCCAATCAATCCAAACACGGCCGCCCAAGCTTTGAGTCGTTCTAGTTCAAACCAGAGTTCCATAATTGGTTGCCCTTCGGTAGATTCGAGAGATGCCTCCATCTGATTAATTAAACGCTCCAGAGCTTCCACAGCAGGCATTAAGTGCGACCTGGCACATAGGAAGTTGAGTTTCTTGCACAATCTCGGGCATTTTAATCTCTCGTCCGTATCAACTACAAGCATGGATAGTGAAAGAGCGACCAGATCTGCTGCGTATGGTGAAGCTGGCTCTAGTGAAGCTGGCTCTCCTAGTAACGTGTCGAACCATTGATGTACCGCTGGTTTGAGTCCAAGTCCATTGTAGAAACTTTCATCTTCCACACGTGGGTGAACACCTGGAGAATGTCTGCTTCGTCTGAATTGAGTAATGCCGTCAGGGCCACTCTTCATGTATGTGACAACTTCCGCGACCATGCAGCCGAAGGCCCACATGTCTATGCTGCGCCCCACTTCTTGGCTACGAAAAGTCATGTCCGTACACTCAGGTGCACGGTAACTAGGGCCACCAGTCTTCCATTCGGTCCTTGACCCATCTCCCACTGGCTTGAGTTTCGATAACCCAAAATCGGCAAGCAAAAAGGTCTTAGGACTGACGAGAACATTCTGGGGGCGGAAGTCGTGATGGTATCCGATCCGCTCAAGCTCGATGCCGTGGGTCTCAGCGTTGAGCTTCAGATTATGGACGCAGGCCAAGGCAGAGGCGAGTCCTTGAAGAGCAGAAAAGAAGGTGCGATCGTGGATGAAATCTCCAAAACGATCGGACCGTTTCAGGAATTCCTCCAAATTCATTTCGACGTGGGGGAATAGAATACTACGCTCATCTCGATAAGCGTAACTACCCAACATCTGAATGATATTTCGGTGCTTCAAGCGGCCCAACTCTCTTAAACAACTCCTTTCATTCGCGATCATCCGGTCTCGAGATTCCTCGGTTTGGCTTTGGGGCAGTTTGAATCGCTTTCGGGCAATTCTAACAACTGGGAGTTCATCGTCGCCGATCTTCATTTGGACGACTTGTAGATCTGGAATGAATTGACCTTCTTCCGCAGCTCGCGTGGCCACGGACGTTGTGAGCGTTTGTTGTGACGAATCCACAGCGGTCAACAGCACTTCTCCAAATGCACCTTCCCCTATACTCTCCTGGTATACGTAGGGAAAGATGCGCTCATGCTCAACAATACCATGATGTAGTTGCAGATCAGAGTCGAGGGTGAATGGAAGAAAGTGCCATTGCCATTCCAACGCGAATGATTCCCCAAAATCAGGTACTATGCGCTCAGCGAGACTTTTCTCAAGCGGCAATCGGCCATCGAGGACCCTGTGCTCAATGAATTTGGTGATGGATTCTTCTTCATGATTCCAGAGGAGAATCGCAAACGTTTGCCGCCCCATGCGAAAAATAGTCGAGCCGATGTCGAATCGGGCACCTTCATCCGGTATGAACTCTGCCACGGCTGCAGCAATGTCCTCCATCGCAAACAGTGAATCAATAACATGATTTCCAAAGTAGTATTGGTGATCGAAGGTAAGCTGCCTTTTGCGTTGGAGACTACCCCAAAGAGACTTTCTTGCGGCACGCATGGTGAGCAGGAGTGCACGGTAGTGAAGAGAAGCAAGTGGTCTCGATGGTTTAGAACGTTCTCAATTTCAGCCTGGAACCTCGGCTGTCCAATGAGATCCTGACACGTTGCCATGCATAGGCCCCACGTCCCAACATTTAACTCATTTAGCACAGCCCGTAACTATCTATTCTCGAGTCCAAAAAGCTCAGACTCGAATCCAGCAAGTAGCTACCCATGTTCTCAATCCGGGTTGTACGTGACGCTTTCGATTTCAGCCTCGACGTATGTCAGTCGTTACTCACTTTCCAGATCTGGTCCTCTTACATTGGTTAACTTTCTCTCTGCGAAAATCTTGACTTCACTATCCGTCTGCTGCGCGAAAGAGTTAGCAATGCTAGTCATATTCGCGTAGGGGATTTCATTACACTTATGCGCCAGTCCGTAAACAAGCTGTTTAGAAGCTCTACCAATTTATTTTCGATGAGGTACTTTCTTTGTATAATAGTTTCTGCGTTCATTGTGCCAATAGGCAAAGCACTATGTGGTTGAAAATGAGTGAACGATAAGAGTTGCTCTCGTCTCCTATCTTAATATCATACATTGACAATCCTAGTACGAGGTGGAGCAAGGCGGAGCAAGGCGGAGCAAGGAAAAACGAAAATGCAGTTTGCCCTGCTAATATAGCCAAGGCAGACTAGTGCGTCTATTTATCCGAGGCTTCGCTCTATACTAAAGTGGCTCTTTGCTGCTTACTTTCGCGTAGATACGCCCCCCACCATGCGGCCTCACGCGGCTGTTTCCAGCAGCCATGAAAACTGTTGGCACCGACTTCATCTACGTGCGCAGGATCTTTTTGTCGAGAGCCAAACACATTCGACTATTGGCTGCTTACAATACTCTTGTAATAGAGAAGGAGAATTTTTCACGAAACCTGGGGTCGAATCGAGGCGTATGGGCTTTTCTAGCATGTCAATCAATGACATTACTGGGCTGGATTTGCTTTTAAAGGCAAGTAACCAAACTCTTGCGTGTATAATACCTGTGTCGGGACGAAGCCTTCATCTAGCGTTCCTATTTCAGGCTATGCCGCAAATTAACTAATTCCGCGATGTACCTTACTCCTCGATGTATCATTGTACCTGAATATACTAAAATGCTAGTTAGAATACCTCTACACGACAGAAGATTCATCTGTTGTACGTCCACAAGACAAATCATCGACTCCAAAGGAACTCACTTAGCTGGTACAGTTTCATATCTCAAACTACTTCATGGAGTCGCTTGAGGATCTTACCAGACATGTTCGATCGATTAGTGCAGTTTTGCAACGTATTTGAAGAATTTTCCACCTATCTCCTCCAGTTTGGCAGACGAATCCGCGACGCCCCGGAGACGAGCATCACAAGCCATATGCGCCTGCATACAGACAAGAGTTCAGTCTTTGGTTATGGTCAGTATATAAAGATTGTTTAAAGTAATTGCTTCTAATTGTCTTTTGTGCAAAGAGATATGTTACAACATTAAGCATTTCGAGTTGCACGGCCGAGAGCTTAAAGACCCTTGGTCATGTCGGCATGCTGCGTTTTACCAATGCTATTCGTCAGCTGAGCATTCATCAACCTGGATTATCATTCAAGGGCCATCGAAAATCCAGTCCTTTATTGAACAATCTGTTTCAGCTCAGGCTTCAGTATTACCCACCCATCATGAGCATCCGCTCTATCAGCATGTCCAGTTTATTAGATTGCTTGAGCGAAATTGGACAAGCTATTTGATTACCTTGGAGGAGCAGCGTCGTAAGACTGTAGGTACTAATATTTCTTTACTCAGCATATACTTGTTCGTACATGGTTTCTTCTATAGCTAATATGTATGATTTAGAGCGACAAAATTCTATTCCTCAGCTCCTGTAAAATCTCGGTCGAGCTGTAAGACGTTCACGACATCCACAATATCCAAGCTAAACTGCGGACAGCGATTGCAATAATCGAAGGGATAATAAGCGTGATCAACACAGTTGATAACCTATGCAACCTACTACAGAATCATAAAAATCAAGGATCCCAATTTCCCTTATCTCCAGACTTGTCAGATCTGGTAATTGCAGAACTGAAACAACTTCTGAGCATCTTTCAGAGTCACGTGCGTACTGCATCAAAGATTCTTCAATCTTCAGAGGACATTAAGGTTATGGTATATTACCTGCCACGTCTCAGATTTTCTCAGTAAGACTGACCAACGCCAGATTCTCGCGATTATTGCTCATCGACACAATGATGCGATTCGGATGCACACGAGTTCTCTCAGGTTGTGAAGAAGCAGTTCTGTGTTGATTTGAAGAGGCATAAGGCCCGTATATATAGCCTATGAAAGGGGGGGGGGGGGGGGGGGGCCCCCCTGTTCCCCCTTGTTACGGATATGGAAGGATGTAACGCCACTGACACGCTAGTAGTGGCAACCTGAGTTCCTCCGTAGCCTCCGCAAAATCGGCGCCGTTGCTCGCTGGAACGAAGTATCTAATCGACTCCTGAGGTCCATAATTAATCTGCCTCACAGGTTGAATCGCGTATGGTGCGCCGCTGACGAGTGAAGAGCTGTCAACCAGAACCGAAGAGGTCGTTTGGATGCCAGTCCAACGAATAAACGCTCCGAATTTTGCCTCGTGGTCAAGCTGTCGTGGGGGATATGGAGTTATAGCTGAGCAGCAAAAGATAGCAGACATAGTGCTGACTCGCTGAAGCTTGACAACAAAATGATATCTGGGCACTAGGTAAGGATGGGTGTGGGAGCTGGAAGAAGATGAGGGGCAGGCTAGGGTTTGAGGAACGAGAAGCTATATAGGTTTAGTGCGCACGTCATGATGGGGATACTATTCGATGCATATTGATAATGTCATAGCACGATGCCACTTTGTTTTACGAGCGTGCCTTTGCATGTGAATATCACCCAACGACTTATCGCAGCCAAGCCAGCGACAGGGTGCAGCGGCGATCGACGATCTGCCCCGCAATGACTTGCATCATGGTTTGGCCAGATCCCCATGTGGCTGGGGTGGCGATATTGATTGAAAGATCGAACAACGCAAATAGCAGATATAAAAAGAGGGCATATAGATAAGAATGCATTCTGAGGCATCCCTTATTACGTTCCTGCAAGATTTTGGGAGTCTTCCTGAGCTAGACTGAGGGCACCAAAAGCTCCTGCTTGCTTGTTTGAAACAGGATACAGACTCATGACAAAGAATCCATTGGCCAGCCTGCCCGTGGCTTAAACGAAGGACTACTGCAAAAGGCACACCTGAAAATGGGGCTAAAATGGAGGAGTATTGGACCTTGGTTAAATTGGTGGGAGAAGCTTGAGATAGTGCGACACCGAAGGGTAAATTGACAGCCTATTTTGAGCCCGCAAAGACGTCTTAGCATTGCAATCAAGATGGAAAGCAGTCTTGCCTGCGTGCCTATCTCATGACTGACGATCTTTGCATTATTGTGAACGTGTTAAACCCACCATACATCCCGCATTCATACCTAATACGCTGTCGACAAAGCCACCTGCTGCTGCAGGTGTTACGGCGCGCACCACATGTGTGGCAGGCACGTGGCGAGATTGCACGTGATGCGGCCTCAGCGCAGCGCCAGGCGTGGCCTCGGGCGCGCGCGGCCTTAGGCGCGGTTGCGGGGCAAGTCAAGTCGCATATATATGTTGAACACCGGCCCGTCGAGTAGTTTGCTCGACACTGTACCTTTTTGGTTGGTGTGCACTGCTGCTGGGGCGGTGGCGGAGTGTAACAGATGGCCCATCTACAGGCATTAATTCCTTAAATTATTATTATCTATTTGCGATTGCCTGGCTGTATAGCTTTTAGACAATTACGCCGCTCGGAGCCTGTTACAACTATGCCTGTTAAGATAACGCCTATTTAGAAGCTAGCTTTATTAAAGTTGTATATATTATTATTAATAATACTGTACTTTGCTTTTATATTATAGATAAGCCTAAACCAATTACTAATTGCTTTTAGATCCTTATATAGAGCTCTTTAACAGTTGTACTTTTAATTAAATTGTGTTTTAAGCTTAGGTGTTCGCTTAACAAAGTTCTCTGGCCAGTTCTTGCCAACTTAGCTGGCGGCGCGCTCAGCAAGCAATTTGTTAGCCATCTCTTGTACAGTAGACAGGCTAGGCGCAAATCCTCGCGAATCTAGGTTGAGTATATGTTGAACAATGACTAATTCCTCCAGCTTGGTAAGCTTCTTTGAATTGGGCTCACAATCGTGTCATGCGGTTGTTCCATTGCGTCGATCGAATAGTGTGCTTTTTGGGACATTGTACACTCCTGCAGCGCGTCGCACGCTTGGTAATTGGGTTCTTGTAATTGCTGCAATAGCTAGGCTTATCCTGCCTTCGCTTTGGATTGATTGCACGTTGTGTTGTCGATGCATCGCGGTTGGAGGTTGATGCGTCGCGTTTTGGTTGTGAGGTGTCCGACTCGCTTGGGTGTCCGGCTCGCTTGTGGAGTACGTTACCCACCTTACGATACGTTCTTCAGCGAGGCAAGCCCTTAGCTCCGACGACGTTTTGCTAGCACGCGGCAAGAACAAACGATAAACACGAAGGATGCCTCGCAACGCTGTGGGATGCGTAATATGTGGAGGTGCTATCGATAAAGGAGAGCCTCGCTGGATAAGCGAATTCAGAGCGTGTGCGTCGCGAGGACCCGACTTGCACGACTTTACTCAGGTTGCCACTACTAGCGTGTCAGTGGCGTTACATCCTTCCATATCCGTAACAAGGGGGAACAGGGGAGTACCCCCCCCCC